TTAAAGGACAATTCCGATGAAAAAAAAAAACCATTCTTGGTGAGAAGTATATCGGAGGTCACTGGTTGTTTTCACACTTAGGTGGGAAAGTTGACACTTAGTCAATCAGAATGCACCGTGTCAACTGAAGTCAATCACGTGACTCATTTCCCACGAATAACTTATAAAAGCTCGAGTCCCCGGAAGCTCAAGGCAATCTCTCAGGAGTTATACTTGTAACTGTGCATTTTGTCTCCATACACTGGATCGACGGACCACAACTTTGACTTCCATCGCCATTCTACAGTTCCTGCACCGACTACGATTCATATGGCCCATTCAACGAACACATATTAGTCATATCTGCATTGAGGTGTTTGCATTGTTTTAGAGCTTTGTGAACACTCTCTCAGACTAACCGTTAAAGCTGTTAGGGTGTCCCTTTGGGATAGGGAACTTATGTTAGCCGCAGTTACTCTTAGTTGTATTTAACCGCATTTAACCTATATATTGTTATCGCCTTATGTGTCCTAGCTTAGCCATTCAATAAATGTTTGTTATTTTTGTTGAACCTGTTTCCTGTCATTTAAGGACACCTGCCAGCTTCCTCACCTCCCTCCCCACTCAATTTGCCCTCCTAGCCATCCAACGACTCCAAAATCGAGTTTTATCAACCTGTTACAGAGTAAGTGGTCAGGCAGAGATTAACTGGCCTACTGGGAATCTCACACTTAGATTATTATTTCTTGAATTTTATTATGAAAATTAATAAGTTAAAAAGTTATATTATTTGTTTAAACTCTCAAATTAAAAAAAAAAAATTGATCAGTTTGTTTAAATATGGATTATTAGCAAAATTAAAACTTTTTACAAGGAAAGAAAATTATCATAGACAGAAGATTAAATTGGATCTCATCTCTATTATAAAACATTCTTGATATTATGATGAATGAAAATTGATTACACCTTAAAATATATTTCAAGATATTATAATAACATTTATATAAGAAACGCTTGTGAATTATAAATAAGAGTTTTTGATGTAAACTTTTAAGTTCAATAAATTATGAAATCTTTTACTTTTTCAATTTCAGAAACTTTCATAATCAGGGTAACCTTTCCTAACTATAATATAACTGTAACAGGGTAGGCTGGATGGCCGAGCAGTCAAGGTGGCAGCCTACCACTCTGGAGGACCCAGGATCAAATCCGGATGGGTCGAAAAATTCCCAGAAATTTTTCGGAGAGTGGTCCATCCAAGCCTCGTCCCTCACCATCCAGCCACCCCATTGTGGGCTGCTAAAAGAGGCCCTCTTAGTGCCCACAAGATGGGGGAAAAACCATAACAAAGTTATGAAACTGGTATTGACATCTAATGACCAAAGTATGCATCTAACTGGAGAATCTACTAAATTCTTCCATTTTATACATTTCTAGTGATAGAGGTTTCCAGAAGTTTCCATCATATTTAAGCAGGATATCTCTTGAATCCAGTCCATATATGTGTGTATTTGAAGCAATCTGCCTAAGTGTCTTGCAAATTGTGTTAGTCACTAGTGATGAGTTAGTTACAATTAATAGTAGTAAAACATTAGTGTTACTGCATTAGTTATTTTTGTTTACTATTGTCTTGTCTGAGATTGTCATCGTCTTTATGGACTCATGTAACAATCCAATGTCTCTGCTTTAAATTTTTATTTTGCCTCATGGATAAGTGGTTGATAAAGAAGCCAGTGACAAAGCAAAATGCTGAACTGAAGAAAGGAAAACAAACTGTGGTGGATAAAATGGTCAATCAAAGAAAAAAACGAGTCAAGAATTAAAATATATATTTTTATATTCTATTAAATATATATACACAAAATGTGAAATCTTCATACTTAAAAAAAATAGTTATATAGGCTTCAAAATATTAGATTGTATAACAAGATAATGCAGACTTTTTGGATAACAAGTTTAGTGATGAAAAATAATTCTTTAAGAACTGAGTTTGCAAACAAACAACATTTCAATCATATTTTATCTATTTACACAAATCAATGCTGTATCTAAAAAAGGTAATCTTGTAAAAATGTAGATGGCATCAAAATTTGAATGAACTTATTACATAATCCAATATATTTGTAAAGTTGAAAAAGATACAAAAATTACTAATGAAGTACTAATTCAGCTCAATGCACATGCTCAATTCTGATGATGTTTCAAATGAAATTCTAACAAAATTCACAAAGGAATGAGTTAGTTTACATTGCTACGAAAATTTCATCCAGCAATATTGATGTTTTTAAAGTCATTTGAATGTATAAATTGTAAAAAACTAAATGACACAAATAACTGCCCATGTCAAGCAACCTGAGAAAAATATTTTGGACAAGACTGTACTAACAACATTCATAACTTCAATTTTAGAAACAGCCATTTTGTTGTAAATGAATCTGTCAAAATGTCCAACAAAAAATAACAATGAAATCATTCTTGTTAACTTGTTTGATTTTAGAAAATATACCCATAATTAATCATAGAGAAAAATTTTTAAAGCAATTAGTTTTAAAGTTAAAAGTATATATTTTTATTTTATTTGTATTCTACACTTCAATGTATTATGCTTTTTCATAAAAAAATACAGAAGAATACATGAATAAAATACAAAATTCTTAAATTATACATTATTTAATAAAACTTATAAATACTGGATATACTGATTGTTATATATCGAATGGCATAAATGAGATAACTTACAATACGCCAAGTAAGATACTGATTCCAAAAACTTGCACCCTCTTCTAAACTGAAAAGAACTCCACCTGAAAAATAAAAGTTTATTAATCTAATATATATAATAAATATAATTATTTAATAATTAAAAATTTATTGTGTTGAATGATTAGTCTTTTCAAAACATTAAAACAAATATAGCATTAACATTTCTCAGTGACAGACAAATAATTGCAATGAAAAGTTCTATAATTTACAAACATTTTATAATCATATCATTCATTACAATATAATAATATGATGATACAAGATTATAAAAATTTGATGCACATTCATAGTAATCTAAATTCTTTTCTTTCTTTCATTATTTTTCAATCTAAAACTTTACCATATTACATACTAAAATCATTTAACCAGTACCTTTTCTTTAATTCAAAAACATATTTTTCCCCCAATTTCTAAAAATGAGTACAGAAAAATAAAAATTCCAATACAGTAGTACCTCATACTTTGAACCACTATAACTTTGAATTCTTCAGGGATAAAATACCAAATCTGACAAAAATTCACTTTGGAGTTCAAATGATGCTTTAAAGATTGAACTGCACATGCAATGAAAAAATGTGCTCAAAGCATAAATACAATCTGTTGTGCATCCAAGTTGTCTCTCACATTATGTTTGTGTATTTTTCAGTGCTTTTTTCACTTTATTTTTGGTGTGTTTAGTTATATACATATTGTGTGTTATTTGTCAATTTTTAACAATTTTTTCCTAAAATTTTTCTTCAACAAGTTTATGGGCACTCCCATATATTTTGTATCCTTTAATTCAAAATTTCCTAAATGGAATTTTTTAAACCACATTTCACATGTTCAAAGTTTAGGAGCATCCTCCTCATATAAATTATGAAATTTTTTTTACAGTTTGTAGTGTTACATTTTTTTCTAAAACTCATAAAGCGTATGTCTAATTTTTATATAAAGACATTTCAACTTGATTTTATTCAAACAAAATGTGAAGTTTAAAATAAGCTTCTAAACAAAGAATACAATCTCAAATCAGAAATAATGTGTTACATTTCACAATTGTTATAATTAAATCATCTGTCAAGTAACAATAGCTGTTAAAAATATACAAAAACTTTCTGTTCAACCCAACATAGCCTTTACTTATTAACCATGGTACTTGAGAAGTGTGTGGAAGCAATGAAGTCTAAGAGGAAGGTTGTATTATCAATTGTTGAATTGAAGAAAAAACTTATCATGAAGCATGAAAACAGTATACATGTGGTAGATCTAATGGCCATGTTTAAGATACCAAAGTTGACAATGTGCAACTAGTAAATGCAATTTTCATTTTATTATACAGTATTACATATTTTATTTATTGTTTCCATGTTTTAATTTATTATTAGGGCATTTAAACATGCTATTTTTATCTTAAATTATGTGTATTTGCTGTTTTAACTTAAATTTATCAAAACGTATATTGTTTAGGTTCTGGGAATAGAATAATTTGCTTTCCATTATTTCTAATGAGAAAAATTGATTTGGACTTCAAAGACGTTTAAATTTGAATGCCCTCCTAAAATAAATTAAATTCAAGGTACAAGGCACAATTGTATTTTCTTATGGATAATGAATAATAATGCATATGCACAGATAACACATTCATTATTAAAAATTGCTCAAATAATTTTTTTCAATAATCAAATCCAAGGATAGTCTTAAAAAATTTTACTAATTACTTTAAACTTGATTTTCTTTTAAAAATTTCTGATGCAGAATTATTTTAAAATTCATGAAATTTTATAAATTTCACAATTTTACATTAATTCTGCAACATAATCTTAAAATAAGTATTTGTTATAATGCTCATTCTTAAAATTATATATTGTATTTATTCTGTATATATGCTAACCCAGTACAAAATCATTCTGTATAGAATTCATTCTTATTTTTTTAGTAAAATCAGTTACAGTTATATTGAAAAAAATGTACAAAACCATAAAAATGTTTTTATAGTTTTGCTGACTATAACAGAACTGTAGGCTGAATTTTTGGGATTTTTTTCACTAGTATATTTCACTCCTCTTAATTAATAACTTTTATAAAATTATTAATTTTAAAAGAAAGGAAATAAACAATATTTATTCTAAAATAATTGCAGGAAAATAGTTTTATTGTAGATTTGCCATATAACATATTTAACAGAGAGATTAAAAATCAAGATTTGAGATAAATTATTAAACATATTAAAACACACCTATTGGAGCACCAAAAGCTGTAGCCACTCCAGCTGCAGCCCCTGCAGAAACAAAATCTCTTTTCTCATGATCTTCTCTAAATCTTTCAAAAACCTGTAATAAAATTCTTTTTAATTTTTGAAAAAAGCAAATTTTTTTTGTTACTTCAATTACAACATTTGGATAAAAATATAAATTTATATCTGTATAATCATTTAATTTATATTGCATTCCTTAAAACTATAGTGTATTTAACCATCTGTTATTGTGTTATTTGTAACAAATGGGACAAATATAAAATAGCCGATGTTGTATTTGCCTTGTAACGGAATAATTTAATATATTGTAATTACTGTTAATTATTATTTGTAATATTTTTTCCTTACAATTTGTAATACGCTTTTCATTCAGCAGTTAAATTATTCAATTTATTTCTTTGTTCTTTTTCTTTTTAGAGAGTTAGAAAAATCTCATTTCAAAATTTAACTGAACTCTAGAGTAAAATAATTGCTCCACTAAAGGTTTTTATGTAATTTAACAATATTCTACAAAGTGATTAAGCAGATATTTAATTTTTCATTTGATAAAAAATTACATATAATATATTATATGTGATGTTATAACTACTAAAATTTAATAATGATACTTAAAACTATAAAATATTACTAGGGAAAGTATTAAGATCTTCAAAATTAGAGAAATAAGTAATTAAATATTCATTTCTTCATAACTAATTTTTTGAAAATAAGTTTGAAAAATTAATTTCAAAATCTTGAAAACTGACTGGGAAATAAATTGTCTGCCTAATAATTTATTTGAGTTAATGTAAAAAATGAAAATGCTTCTGTAAAAATATTTTTAATTAAATTAAAATGTTTCTTTGAGATATAATGGCTCCAAAAACTGAATTATGAGTTATAAAAAAAAAGTATTACAGCAAAAGAATGTTTTATGAAATGAAAAATTCATATAGATGCAATTTTAGTATATTTATCAAACGATGTTTTCAAAATTTATATTATTATTATTGTTTATTTATTTTCTTAATTACTAAAAATTACTAAATAAACTTAACCTTAAAATCTTTTCGAAAGGTAGTGCTTTTTCCTTGGGAAATTCCAGCAGCAATAACTGAACCACAATGAATCATTGGTCCTTCCTAATAATAATAAAAGTATTAATAAATTTCAAACAATTATTTAAAATTAAATAATAATTTTAAAAAATACCTTTCCAACTGCTAAACCTCCAACAACTGATAAAATAACACCAACAGCTTTTACAATTAAGGTTTTTATCCTAACTACTTCTGGAATTTTTACTCCATTTAAATAACATTTGATGACAGGAATACCACTTCCAGCAGCAACAGGCTTAGGTTAAAATAATTTATATTATAATAATTTTAAATTGAAAACAAATAGAAGCTTAAAGGAAAACTTTTAGAAATAATTTTCTCAAAAAAGTCACTAAATTATTTTTGGTTTTATATTAATAATTTGTAATTTCTAATAAAATACAAAGTTATCACTACAAAATGTAATAAAGTATAAAAAATAACTTACGGCAATGTAAGTAACAAGTAATGATCCAATTAAAACTGAAACAACATTAAATATTATCCACAATATATATGGTATAAACATGCAATCTTTATCTGTACATTTATCAACATCTGTAATAATTATTAAGGAATATATTTTATAAAATAGAATTCAAATGATAAATGATGATGATGATAATTATACTATAGGAGAGATTCTTATAGAAGTTTATAATTATATTTTTTACTATTTAAAAGATACAAAATTTCAAAACAGAAAATTTCAGTCTAGTTAACAAATCAATTAAAATTGTTATAAAACATCCTGTCATGGCGGTGAGTGTTCCAATTGCCACTATAATGAGCCAACGATAAATACTCATCTTCTTTATCAACTATAAGAAAAGAAGTTGTAACAAATTATATTAAAAATATATGGTTTAATAAGAATTTTAAACTATATATATCATCAAGAATTAATATTAATGCATTTTTTATTACATTTTTATCAAAAATTGATGCTATTATATTCTATATTATGTAGTACTTAATATTCATTTAACCAGTTGCTAATGTCATCAAATATTGATATGTACTGTAAAAGATAATTTATCTCTATTTCTTATTAGACATTCATTTTTAAGTTACTAAATTTTATTAACTAAAATGATTCCAAAGTATCTATTGATTTGCAAAACTGTTTATGCAAATTTTTGAGTAAAAAACAAGCTTAATGTTTTTATAAAAGAACTGTTAAAAGACAATAGAACAAAATGGTTCATTGGCCATTTTTCAGAACATTTGTTTATTCTATAAAAATTTTCTTTTACCCCATCAAAGGACTTTGATATACATTTTAATATGCTAAAGTTCTCTGATCATACAGATTTATAGTAAAATGCAAAATTGTCTGTATATTACAGGAAATTTTGCAAAATAATAATCTGAGGATACAAGATCTAAAAAATAAGATAAGTAATTATAATTATTTGCTTTTTGTCCTATATTTTAATTAATCTTCTTAATAGCTATATGTAATTTGCTATAAATTTTAAGGACTTATCACACCACAGTTTTCAATTAGAAATGAAATGATTTAATAAAATCTCAGTGAACTTTCCAATTGAAAACTGTGGTGTGATAAGTCCTTAAAATTTATAACAAATTACATATAGCTATTAAGAAAATTAAATAACATAAATAAATTAATATATCCTAACTAAACTGCAACAACAGCTTTCACTAATGACATCAGCAAAAACAACACACATCATTGCAAACCTACTGGAAAAATATATGTATGTGGTCTGGTAGTGTCATAAAAATAAGCTATAAGCTTTAAAAGGTTTTGTGAAAGTTATTTTTCTCTTATAGCTTCTGTATCTAAGCCAATTCAGAATAATAATTATCTGACTGCAGAAACACAAAATACATAATTCATTAATAATGCATTAATAGACAGCATCAAAATATGTGAAAGTAATATGTAGGATGCAAATTATTTCCAGATATAACAGAAACAATAAAATATATAATTTTAAAAAATTGTTCTGTTTAAAATATTTATAAAAAACAAATGTCTAAGTATTTTCATTATATTTATAAAATAATTTCAAAAATAAAATATCTAAATTGACTTATGTGAAATTCGAAGTTAATAAAAGCATTTAATACTTTAAAAGTTTAATAAATTTAAATTAAAAATGTCCTCAACCAAAGGAATTTGACCCTACAAAAACGAAATCTAAAGTACATGCGAGAATTATAACTCTTCTTGTTTAAATATAAACATTCTCACGAGCAAACCGTATATAGTTTACAGTTATCGGCGAAATTCCTCATATTGTTGTCATTCTAACACCACCTTTAACCCCACACCTGCTAAAACAATTGATCACCTGACGAATTTTCCCACCAAAAAGGTATAAAAGCCATCCTCCTTCTCCCTTCTCCGGGGAGTCGCTAATCAAGAAGTCACCATCGCACCATCAAGATAGAGATTCGCTTCCCTCTAACCAGCCGCATCACATAATAGAAGAACTTCGATCCCAACCCTCAACTTGGATCCCGCCTTCCAGAAATTAAAGGCCTTCGCTATTTATCGCAAGAGGTATGAACGCTTTATTGTAAGCTCTCTCTCTCATACGCGAATGAGACTTACCGTGTTAAAACGTTTGTTTTATTATTTGTCTGTAATAAATTGTTAGTTTAGAAAAATGGTGTCTTTATTCGACTATGCCAACGCCTTATCGTCGACCCCTCCGACTCTCCTCCACTCGCGTAACGCGTAACTGCACGTTACTACCATCCCTGACAAGAAAGTAGGTCACCGACCAGTGGCTGGAGGGAGAGGACTCCTCTTCCCTCCTGGTGGCTCACATATTGGTGTCACAGAAGTGGGGTTTGAATCTAAAAATCCCTAGAACCCTCACATATTGGTTTGCAGGAGTGGGGTCCGACTTTATCGGAAAATCGATAAGGCGAAGGAGGCTATAATCGAGAAAATAGTGGATTTGAATCGTAGTAGGGATTGTTTAGACCTAAGATTTATTTAGACCTAGTTTTTAAGTTTAGATAGAAGTAAGTTTAGAAAATAGACCTAATGGAGGAAGCAGCTCGTGATGCGGCTAGGGCAGGCAACCCAAACCCAAATCCTAACCCAACACCGAATCCCCTTACGTTGGGAGGATTGAGTAGAATTATCCCTTTATTACCTGTATTCTCGGGCGAAGCTGGAGGCCCCAGGGTGACAGACTTCTTTGATTCGTTGACGGATGTCACCAAGGTAGCGGCATGGTCGAAAGCGCAAATGTTGGCCGTTGCCAAGCTTAAACTTACCGGGATAGCCCGGGAATTTGTTAGGAAGGACCGTCGAATCAAGGAAGTAGAGGAATTCGACGAGTTTAAGCGATTGATGATAGAGCGTTTTGACCGCAAACCCTTTACCTTTCGACTAAATAGGTTTTATACGTGCGTGCAGAAACGGGAGGAAGACGTACAGATGTATGCTGCTCGCCTACAGGCGTTGGCCATGGAGATAGAGATCACACCGGAGCCTGGCGCAAATGCCGCAGAAACAGCCATCATTCACAGAGTCCAAAGCAAGGAGCTAGATGAGAGATTGAAGGCACAATTCCTAAATGGGATCGATATACGCATAAGGCAGTGAACGATGTCACGAGAGCCTGCCACCTTCAACGACGCACTAAAAGCCGCCATTAGTGAGGAAAGGATAGAGAACCTTACCGCACATCCTCGAGGGATCATGCGAGCAGTTAGGGAAGGCGACAAATCGACCGATTCCTCCCCCTCTTCAAATGAGCTACATCAATTAACTGCAGCGATAGACGAGATTAAGGCTCGCATGGAAAGTTTAACCAGACTTCCCTCTCAAAACAGCTTTAGAAACCATACTTCAAGGAGAAACCAGCGAGGAAGTTATACGAGTATCAACTATAATAACAATAATACCTATAATAATCCGACCTTTCGACGAAGGGAATATCGCTCGAACTCCCCTAATCACAGAGACGCTCAGTTGAGTAACCGACCTAGCGAACGCTCTACGCGTCCACGAAACGACTTTCAGAATTGAGGTAGATGGGAAGGCAGTATACGTAGTATCAAAGAACAACGACCTCAATATTGCTTTCGAAGAAACCCTACCGAGGAGGACGAGACGAGGTGGAAAGGCAGAATAGGACTAACGAGAACTGTGTTAAAACCTAACCCTATTATATTAGTCTACATTAATAATATCCCCGTGAAAATGCAAGTTGACCCTAGAGTGGAACGTACGCTCATATCAAATGACCTAGCGAACAGGTTGAAGGGGAAAGCTCATATCAAATTTGGACTTAGACAAAAATTAGGAACCATTTTAGGGAAGCCAACTACCGCTATAGGAATAGCGACGCCTACGTTTAAATTACGGGGAAAGAAACTTTGCATGCCGTGTGGTATTGTACAAGCCGAGGTCACAACCCCGTGTGAAGGGATCTTGGGCCGCGATGTCATTGATGCGGCACGACTAACGTTAGACCTTGCTAATGCACAAGTGAGGCTACCCAATTGGAAGCCTATACATTTTTGCACACCCCTACGGCCACGCAGAAGAAAGAAAAGGTGGAGGGACCTGAAGAAAAGGGAGAAAAACTCTTCGGACATCCTACAAACGGAACGAATAGCTCCCGCCAAAAGAAAAAAGAGAGGAACTTGACAGAAACGGAGCAAAAGAGGAAAAACGGCAACCCGTAGAAAAAATAAGCGACAGAGAGTACAGCGGGAGAACACGGACATGACCATCGAATCACCTACCGAAACCTCGGAAGAAGACTCATTAATGACTGCCTCACAACCCAGTAAGTTTTCTGAGGAGGACTTCAATTTAGCCTCCATACTCCCTTCATTACCGGAAAGCGAAATTGAGAGCGAGGACACTGAGCCCAAATCGGAACCGGAAGGAAAACATGAAATTACTCCTCCATATATATTCCGAAGTCAAAGAGCAGTTCCAGATCAACAGTGGGTTACGCCTAGAACTACCCGTGGTCGAATTTCACGATTTATTTAACCCACCTCTAGTCGGTCATCCTCACCTTAGGTCTGCAAATGAGTTGTAACATATTGATAGGGCATTAATTTCATTTCAAGAATAGAGGAATATAGAGAAAGGGCTCTAATTAAATTAACCTAGTCCAAATTCATTCCGTTATTTACTCTTAGATCTCAACAAAGTCAGAGAACAAATTTTCCTTCCCACGATAAATTTTTTCGAAACGCATATTCCTAACTTTATAACGGAATATAATCGATATTAGATTCACTTTAATTTTTGCTTTATTCGTTAAGCTATTTTGTATCCTATTAAGTAATATTAGCCCATAATATTAAGAAGTAAAATTACTGAGAGAGAGAGTAAACCCACACATTATGTAAATCTACTTACCTCTACAACCCAGGGATATTCTTTACTCCATAAATTGTTACTAATAATATTTTATCTGACCCAAGAACAGTGCCACTTCTCCTCCAGAATGTAATGATACAGGTGCCGAACAGTCAGTTACCGACTGAAATTTTTCACCTAATTCAACTGATCTTCCATAATAAAACATATCCACCAAGTATCATCTTTCCGAAGATTTCGCCAATATTCGGATCAAGATATTCACCAGTTCCTGCTCCCAAACCCGTCAAATGCATATCGTTCACCCGCACCAGAAAACCTACAACCAGCCTCCACAACAAGAACTTTGAACTACTCTACGCCAATCAACAAGCCAGCGACTGACAACAACTTAAGAAAACNATTAATAGTAGTAAAACATTAGTGTTACTGCATTAGTTATTTTTGTTTACTATTGTCTTGTCTGAGATTGTCATCGTCTTTATGGACTCATGTAACAATCCAATGTCTCTGCTTTAAATTTTTATTTTGCCTCATGGATAAGTGGTTGATAAAGAAGCCAGTGACAAAGCAAAATGCTGAACTGAAGAAAGGAAAACAAACTGTGGTGGATAAAATGGTCAATCAAAGAAAAAAACGAGTCAAGAATTAAAATATATATTTTTATATTCTATTAAATATATATACACAAAATGTGAAATCTTCATACTTAAAAAAAATAGTTATATAGGCTTCAAAATATTAGATTGTATAACAAGATAATGCAGACTTTTTGGATAACAAGTTTAGTGATGAAAAATAATTCTTTAAGAACTGAGTTTGCAAACAAACAACATTTCAATCATATTTTATCTATTTACACAAATCAATGCTGTATCTAAAAAAGGTAATCTTGTAAAAATGTAGATGTCATCAAAATTTGAATGAACTTATTACATAATCCAATATATTTGTAAAGTTGAAAAAGATACAAAAATTACTAATGAAGTACTAATTCAGCTCAATGCACATGCTCAATTCTGATGATGTTTCAAATGAAATTCTAACAAAATTCACAAAGGAATGAGTTAGTTTACATTGCTACGAAAATTTCATCCAGCAATATTGATGTTTTTAAAGTCATTTGAATGTATAAATTGTAAAAAACTAAATGACACAAATAACTGCCCATGTCAAGCAACCTGAGAAAAATATTTTGGACAAGACTGTACTAACAACATTCATAACTTCAATTTTAGAAACAGCCATTTTGTTGTAAATGAATCTGTCAAAATGTCCAACAAAAAATAACAATGAAATCATTCTTGTTAACTTGTTTGATTTTAGAAAATATACCCATAATTAATCATAGAGAAAAATTTTTAAAGCAATTAGTTTTAAAGTTAAAAGTATATATTTTTATTTTATTTGTATTCTACACTTCAATGTATTATGCTTTTTCATAAAAAAATACAGAAGAATACATGAATAAAATACAAAATTCTTAAATTATACATTATTTAATAAAACTTATAAATACTGGATATACTGATTGTTATATATCGAATGGCATAAATGAGATAACTTACAATACGCCAAGTAAGATACTGATTCCAAAAACTTGCACCCTCTTCTAAACTGAAAAGAACTCCACCTGAAAAATAAAAGTTTATTAATCTAATATATATAATAAATATAATTATTTAATAATTAAAAATTTATTGTGTTGAATGATTAGTCTTTTCAAAACATTAAAACAAATATAGCATTAACATTTCTCAGTGACAGACAAATAATTGCAATGAAAAGTTCTATAATTTACAAACATTTTATAATCATATCATTCATTACAATATAATAATATGATGATACAAGATTATAAAAATTTGATGCACATTCATAGTAATCTAAATTCTTTTCTTTCTTTCATTATTTTTCAATCTAAAACTTTACCATATTACATACTAAAATCATTTAACCAGTACCTTTTCTTTAATTCAAAAACATATTTTTCCCCCAATTTCTAAAAATGAGTACAGAAAAATAAAAATTCCAATACAGTAGTACCTCATACTTTGAACCACTATAACTTTGAATTCTTCAGGGATAAAATGCCAAATCTGACAAAAATTCACTTTGGAGTTCAAATGATGCTTTAAAGATTGAACTGCACATGCAATGAAAAAATGTGCTCAAAGCATAAATACAATCTGTTGTGCATCCAAGTTGTCTCTCACATTATGTTTGTGTATTTTTCAGTGCTTTTTTCACTTTATTTTTGGTGTGTTTAGTTATATACATATTGTGTGTTATTTGTCAATTTTTAACAATTTTTTCCTAAAATTTTTCTTCAACAAGTTTATGGGCACTCCCATATATTTTGTATCCTTTAATTCAAAATTTCCTAAATGGAATTTTTTAAACCACATTTCACATGTTCAAAGTTTAGGAGCATCCTCCTCATATAAATTATGAAATTTTTTTTACAGTTTGTAGTGTTACATTTTTTTCTAAAACTCATAAAGCGTATGTCTAATTTTTATATAAAGACATTTCAACTTGATTTTATTCAAACAAAATGTGAAGTTTAAAATAAGCTTCTAAACAAAGAATACAATCTCAAATCAGAAATAATGTGTTACATTTCACAATTGTTATAATTAAATCATCTGTCAAGTAACAATAGCTGTTAAAAATATACAAAAACTTTCTGTTCAACCCAACATAGCCTTTACTTATTAACCATGGTACTTGAGAAGTGTGTGGAAGCAATGAAGTCTAAGAGGAAGGTTGTATTATCAATTGTTGAATTGAAGAAAAAACTTATCATGAAGCATGAAAACAGTATACATGTGGTAGATCTAATGGCCATGTTTAAGATACCAAAGTTGACAATGTGCAACTAGTAAATGCAATTTTCATTTTATTATACAGTATTACATATTTTATTTATTGTTTCCATGTTTTAATTTATTATTAGGGCATTTAAACATGCTATTTTTATCTTAAATTATGTGTATTTGCTGTTTTAACTTAAATTTATCAAAACGTATATTGTTTAGGTTCTGGGAATAGAATAATTTGCTTTCCATTATTTCTAATGAGAAAAATTGATTTGGACTTCAAAGACGTTTAAATTTGAATGCCCTCCTAAAATAAATTAAATTCAAGGTACAAGGCACAATTGTATTTTCTTATGGATAATGAATAATAATGCATATGCACAGATAACACATTCATTATTAAAAATTGCTCAAATAATTTTTTTCAATAATCAAATCCAAGGATAGTCTTAAAAAATTTTACTAATTACTTTAAACTTGATTTTCTTTTAAAAATTTCTGATGCAGAATTATTTTAAAATTCATGAAATTTTATAAATTTCACAATTTTACATTAATTCTGCAANAATTAATCCAGTATTGTTTCTCTGTTACCAACTTTAACAACAGCTAGCAAAATGCCAGCAATTTAAACTGTTGCATTATGAGTAAATTATTAAAAACAATCAATATTTAGCATTTAAAGCAGTGGTTAAGATTCATCACAATAGGTGATAACTATTGCATGCTATCAGTCTCGTGTTGAGACTGACAGTATTAAAAGATATCTTAAAAAGACCTATTAGCCCAAAGATGACTTGACAACCAAATTCTGATTACAACAATAAAAATTTTTATATACTTTAACTTGCATGTTTTAGGACTTCTTAATTTTGATTACATTAGCCATGATTACAAAAAAAGTTTACTATATTAATATAGTACACTCAGTTTGATAATCTAGAGAGGTTTAAAACACAATGCCATTTTAAAAGTTTTTATATTTGAAAATTTATTTGAAATGATTAATAGTGATGAATTAAAATGCTGGATTAAATGAGATCAATGACAAATTAATATTGGTATATTAAAATTCTGTATAATGTAAGGAACTTTACCTGTCATTTACATTTTTTGATTTCATATATTGATTGCATAATAAAGATGAAATCAAAAAGTAACAAGAATTTGAAGATTATCCCTAAACAATATTTTTTAAAACATTTTTCATATAAATACAAAAATTCATTTTATAAACAGTGATGGCAATTGTAATAAAACAAAATAAGTGTTTTGAATATTTCATAATTTCATCCAATTTCTAAAACAATGGTTTGAGGATGATATGGCAAATATACATCATCATCTTAATATTAAGAAAAAGTAATTTTAAAATAAATAAATGACTTTTAATCTAATTATGTCTCATTTTAAATCTAATAAGTTTTGAACAGAATATCTATTATACCTTTTTTAGATTTGCTATTTCCCTTAGGTTGCTTTTTTCTTGCATATATACTATATAATATAATCTACATAATTCACTATTTTTTCAGATGTAAATCATGGAATAAGAATACTACAGATATAACTGTTATTGGCATATAGTAACCAAAATTTCATAAATCTAAAACTGTAATAATATATTTTCTTAGAAGCTTTAACCAATATTTAAAAATATTTTTCAATATACAGGTATCCCTCATACAATACGGTACTTCTACAACACAGTTGAAAAATTGGGGATATCTCCTGTACAACACAGTTTCCAGTTTCATTCTAACATAGTTCAAGAATTCAGGAAATTTTCCATACAAAATTTCACAATTCTTAAGTACAAACTCTGCTATTCAATATTTTTTCTTCAAGTAAGCATGCATGTTGTCTCAAATTTGTCCATGGATTTTACAATATTAAAATTTTCAATTTGTTTTATGCCTTTTGTCAGGTTTACTTTAATGAAAACTGATAGTACTAATTTTATTTCCCTGTCCTAGATTTTTAACAATGAGGTATTGTTGACATTGCTTTCAGACATTAGCATTTAAGACTGTCACCATATTTTGTTTTTATAGATTAATTAATCTTTGTATTTAGTAAAATTTATTTAAATATTTTTAGGTAAATGTTATTAATTTTTTTTAAACAGATGTAAGTAATCATTTGTAAAAGTGATGAACAAAATATGGCAGTATCTCGATACTCTAGCTGTTCCCAACTCAAACAATTCAAACACATATTCTGGAGAAAAATCACTCGGTACCTGACTGAACAAATGAGGGGCCTGTAGAACAAAATTTCAATTATTTTTACTAAGCCAAACAATTGTTGTAATTAATTGGACTATTAATATGCTATAATTAATAATTAGAAACTAAGTAATTTGGTACTAGAGGTACCATCTCTTATCTAAATTAATAATTATAATAATTTAATAATTTATTAAATAATTTAGAACATTCTAGAAGAAAAGAACTAGCCCGGAATGGGACATGAACCTGCAACCTCTGCATATCGTGCAGTGCACCTGCCAGTTACACAATCTGGACCCCGAGCAAGTCTTCGCTTCCAGATATATTTAAATTTAGATATAATTATTCATGGTTACTTACACCACTGGCTGGGGCAACTCCTTCTCCCACAGCCTATGTATTCCTCCATTATGGCACTCAACTGGCTAATGCTTTACCCGGCATGTTATACGTGTGTGTGTTTAATTATAGCATATTAATAACCTGATTAATTACAGCAATCATTTGGCTTAGTATCTATAAATCGGGTTTTGGTAAGTTGATGTATAAACTTACCAAAAATGTATTATTATGAAAATAAAATGAAGATGTTGCTGATATTTCTGATCAAGATAAACAAAAAAGCTCAGATGATGATAATACTTTGTAAAAAGAAAACACCCTTGTTAAATTAAACTTAATATTAATGAGTAATACAGTACTTTTAATTGTGATTTTCAGTTAATTATTGATTGGAAATATATTACTGATTGATTTTATAAACATATTCCTCTTAGTAATGAGAAAGAATAGTATGTTTTTACTAAGTTTTGGAAGCTAACCCTATGTTTTGTAATAGTCCTTTATTTCATATAGCATGGATTCGCATAACACTGCACTTTTTTAGAATGTAACTACTATATTATACGAGGGATACCTGTACTCTAAATCTTTTATCTTTTACACCTGTGATTTATTAAAGTTTACATGTAGTCTTCAAAATAATACATCTCACAACTATATTTCTCTTGAATTTTGATTATGTGAGTTTTAGAATATTTATTTTTATCAATTATTTCATACTAAAGCAAATTTTATATAATCTATTTTTATATTTTTATTATATCTTATGATATATATATATATGATATAT